TTGGAGAAGACACTGTATGGTCGTGTCGGACCGTTGTAGCAGATAATGGCTGGACAGTTTACGAGGTCATGCCGGACCGATGTAGAAGCTAACCGGAATCAATGTCGGGACAGTTTATGGGGTCATGCCGGACCGTTGTAGAAGCTGACCGGAATCAATGTCGGGACAGTTTACGGGGTCATGCCGGACCGTTGTAGAAGCTTGTGGTGGTGCACCAAGGAGGCGACTTAGGGAGTGCGCCATGGGGTGGCTTGAGTGGTTCCCATGGTGTATAACCATGTTCACCATGATATATGTATAACCCCCCCTCAAACTCAAATAGGTGTGAAGATAGAAACCTATTTGAGGTTGAAACAAAGGGATTGAGAAAGTGGAGCAGAACGGCTCAAAAAAAAAAATGGTTGAAGGTTTTTTTTTTTTTTTTTTTTGGTATAGAATGCTGATGGGGGAGATCCCTGCCATGAATAAAACGAGTACTTTTTTTTTTTTTTTAAACAAAACCGTGGGCCCAGGAAGACACCAAAGCCCACGTGAATCACTTCTGCAGAAACAACATCAACATCGAGCTAATCGGTCCCACGTGAGACTTGATCCACGCATACCAATGCTTACAAGGGGGGGTTGGCAGCGTATGTTAGCAGAATGGCGCACGCGGGTGCACAATAGCGGAACGGTGCACGCGCGGCTCACGGTAGACGAACGGCGCATGCGGGTGCACGGTAGCAGGCGCGGCGCACGACAGGGCAGGGTGGAAGGCGTGTGACAGCGCGTGTGAGAGTGGCAACGGAAGCAGAGACGCGCCGAGCAAAGAAGCGGCGCGTGAGAGCGCGTGAGGGCTTTTCTGGTGATGGGCTTGGTGCCGTTGGAATCGTAAGGAGATTCCGAGCTGTTTGGTATAGTCCACTGTGTACGGAACTAAGCACCAAAATTGAGGGATGCCAAAATTGTATTTTTGGGCTCTGATACCATGTAAGAGTTTATGTATATAGAAAGAGAGAGAGCAAGTGAATAAATGAGATGTTATTGATATGTTGAATGTTATACACGGTCTCCTTTATATAGGAGAAAATGGCCTAAGTGGTATACACACTATACAAAACAACATCATGGCCTAAAAGGAAAGTGGTCACCGAAAGGGGAAAGGGCCACCGAAAAGGGAAAGCATACACTAAGGAAACAACATTATTAAAGCTAGTTGGTGTTTTACAGCTAATATATATATATGCACTAACATATAATACATATACTAACACTTAGGATTACAAATCCTAACATGATAGTTTCTTTTTTTGATTTGTGTTTTTTTTGCCCATATAGTATCCCCACGTTCAAATGAACTTTGATATCAAAGCTGGAACTCCGAAGTTAAAACATTCAGTGGGGGTGACCATATAAATATGACATATAGTTAAAACATTCCATGCCATTGGATTTTGAACTTGTTGGATGAAATGATTTAATCACTGTGCATTCATATTTCATATACTAATGCAATTAATTGTCGTTGTGTATATACATACGGATTTAGGATTATTACTATGGCGGCGCAAAAATATATTTGAGAGTATAAACCTTTGTAATTTAAAATTTTTCATTATAATATTTAATATTTTTCAAATTTTTTGGAGGTGCGGTCGCTCTCATCCATGCCTACCTAGATCCATCCTTGTATTTATAACTCCAAAGATTATTTATTTCTTTTGTTAGAGATGAAAAATAATGGAGAATTTATTAGGAAATCCTTTTTTAAATACTTGTATTCTAATTAGTCTGTAACATATTCTTGTATTCCAATAAGTCTTATTATTTAGATATTTGATCCACCAAATTATAATTCTTCTCTTTAAGGTATTTTATAGACAATTTTACTTTTGTAAATATATTTTTTTGAATCCTTAACAATTTGGTGATGTGAACATTCATATTTGACATGTGAATGTTCACATTATGAAATATTATTTTATACTGTCAATGTGAATATTAATGCGCGTTTCACCTTATTATTATTAGAGTTATTTTGGTAAATATATCACTTATAGTATTTATTGAAACTTAATAATTTAAACTAAATGGAGCATAAGTAAGTGAAAAGAAATTTATGAATAAATGTCCTAAAAATAATTTGTAAATGCATTAGTTAAAATAAGTGATCTCTAACTTTGAGTACATAAAAGATAGAGTGATTGACCTATAAATTCCAAAAGGTGAATTTGTGGATCAATCAGTCCCAACTTTGTTTTAATGAACACCGAAGTCCCATTGAATGGGAATTGACACATTTGCTCAATGTGGTTTAATGTGTAGGCCAGTTATTGTATTTTTGAAATTTTAATTGTTTTGTATTAATTAAGTTTGAAAAAAAGTATACTAAGAACTTTTTAATTTGTTCTGTATTAGCCATGTTTGGAAAATGCACTAAGGATTTTTTTATTTGTTCTATATTAGCCACATTTAGAAAATGTAACATGCCTATTTTGGAAATCAAACCATATTTCACGTGTCACATTTCAAAAAAGTACCCTAAAAAATAACATTTCACATTTAACCTACCCAAATGTAACATGCCCATTATGATTTTAGTTGTTTTGTATTAATCACGATTTAAAAAAAGAACACTAAGGTATTTTTTATTTGTTCTGTATTAGCCACATTTGGAAAATGTAACATGTCTAGTTTGAAAATCAAACCATATTTCAGATGTCACATTTAAAAAAAAATACGCCAAATGATTTTTGTAGTCACATTATTGGTTTGGATAAATCACATTCCACATTCAATCCTCCCAAATGTAACATGCTCATTATAGAAATCAATCATTGTGTCACATTTCAAAAATTACATTCCAAAAAAAAAAATGAACCCAACAATCTATAAGGATAAAAAAAGTCTTAACGTGACACAATAATATATTAAATAAGATCTCATAAAAAAATATTTCCAGATGAATAGGATCTACTGATCAAAAAAACGAAAAAAAAATAGACTTCATAGTATATAGATTTTTAAAGTGGGATTTTTAAATAATTTTTCCTACAAAATATATAGGAAAATGTTTGAGGGCCACAGTTTTTGTGGTCACAATAGTTCAAAACTGTCAAAACGACGTCGTTTTGGATACAAAACATGCCAAAACGACGTCGTTTTGATAATTTTGAGCCATTGTGACCACAAAAATTGTGGCCCTCTAGCATTGTTGAAATATATATCATTTAAGTTCTGATACAAATATTTTTATTTTTATTGGTTAGTGGGCTAAGTTACTGGGTTTGGATTTTGTAACTTCTGTTTGGGTGATTTTGAAACTCAATATAGGCCCAATCATGAAGTCAATTCGTGCTTGGACTAGTACATGTAGTATTATTATTCTTATATAGAGTAGGTATGGCCCAAAATACACCCGACCATAGTCAATAGCGAATACCGATCAAAACACACTCTGAAGAATCCTATTATGGAGAAGTTATTCATTTGGTCGAACATTATACAATAACATGGGCTAAATGCTTTGTCAATCACCACAGCAGGATCAACCGGGACATGGTTGAAAACAAGCTCATTTCGGGCCTTCCATATATGCCAACACAACCACGCAATATTACCAAGAAGATCTTTACACTCTTGAAAGCTTCCCATATGTTCCATATATAATATCACTAATCCATCTCTGGAATGAATGAAAAGCCTGAGATTCAATCTTATAACCCAACCCACTTCCAAACCAAATTGCCTTTGTCCACCCACATCCAAACAACAAGTGCTCAACCAACTCTGAGGCATCAGTGTACATATTCTTTTCTTTTTTGTTTTTTGGATCGGCGGCATGAGTGCAAATTTGACATACATTCTCTAATGAGCACCTCCTTCTGTGAAGATTTTGAAGCGTGGCTAAACAATTGTTACAAACCCTCCATAAAAAGTGTTTTATTTTTTATGGGAGTTGCAAATTCCGAATGAATTTCCACTCTTTTTCGGACCCCTGAAAGGAGGGTGAAGGGGACTCTTTCCAAGCCAATCTTGTCCGGTCCAAAGCAGATTAGTACTCAGACTTCACTGAGTTAATACCTTTCGAGTCTTGGTGCCAAATTAATGAATCATCTTTATCTTCCACTGAAATAGGAATGCCAATGATAGCCTCACTCTCTTCCTTCGATATTAAAGCTTGAATTTTAGACTTGTCCCAGACTTTTGAGGAAACAACAAAAGCATCTTTAACCTTGTGTATCTCACCCCCGTTTGGATGCCTCACTTTAACCTTGAAGCCCTGAACATTAGGAATCCAAAAATCAATTGTAGCACCATAATGCACCTGCCACCGCAACCCATCAGATAACACTTCATGCCCTTAAAGAAGACTCGCCCAAGCCCACAAAGCTCGAGCCCCTTTCAATGCATGAACAGAATCCAAATTTGGAGTTTGGGAAGTTAACGAGTCTCCACCTTTGACGAGCCAACAAGGCTTTGTTAAAGGCTTTGAAATCTCTAAAACCCAAGCCCCCATTGCTCTTGGGTAAAGCCATCTTACTCCATTTAGCCCACTGAATTCCCTCACCTTTTGGATCCCCTTCCACCAAAAATTCTGAATAAAGAAATTCAATTTGTTTCCAAATAATTAGTTAATTTTTTTTTTTAGATTGATTTCCAAATAATTAAGTTAGTACTTAGTTAATGGTTAAATTTGTAGTGAAATTGGTCATGGAATTTTGTTGATTAGTTATAAGCCTTTAGTGATACGTTTTGTTATGAACCGAATTGTCCGAATTAATTTTGATGACGAGACTTTATATGATGGTAGGTTATGAATCAAAGTGATCTTGATTAAATATCAAAATGGCTTCAATTATGAGTCCAACCTTTGCAAAATGGCTTTAATTATGAACCCAACCTTTGCATATATTTTTTTTTTATCATTATTATTTTGGAATATGTATGAAAATATTTGTTACAACTTTTGATTATAGTTTATGAATAAGTTGATTATCTAAAAAGTATAAAATTTATACTTTTACCTTCTATTTTGTAATCAGCTTTCAACTTTAAAAAAAAAAAACTACAACAAAAAGACCCAATATACCACCACCCTTTTACCATCACAAGAACACTACAACAATTTTGGTTCCAATCACAGCCTTAATGCTTTTTGAAACTATATTAACAGAAACTGCAGTAGTGAAATATATTAAATAAAAAAACACAAAAAAAACATGGGCTGCATTGAACAAAAAAGAAATGAAAATGACCAAGCCCCAACCACCCACCTCTCCACCCACTTTTCTGTGTACTTCAACAAAGAGTTCAAAAGCACTCACAGAAAAGCAAGCCCCATTAGTGGTAGGGTATTTTCTTGCTTTCTTCATACTTTCCGGCCAAATCATCGAAAAGAATTCCGGCACCGACTCCGACGACTAAGTCGATCGTGTAGTGGCCTCTCGTGCTCAAAAGCCTGATTACTTGTAGAACGTTGAGGGTGTCAAAAACACGTCCCAATTCCCACCTCTGCATGCGTTTCATGTCGAGTGAGGCAATCACAGATGCAGCAACATGGCCTGAGTAGAACAAGAAAAATGACACGTTCCCAACTGGAAAGTCCACGCCGGAGCCCAAGAATCCCTACAATTCAATCTCACATTGCTTAATTTTTTTTATTGATGCTTTGTGGACCCTCATAAAAATCAGATTGATTTGATAATGAAAAATGCTTGGGAGTACTAAAAAGGGAACACTAAGGGGAGCACTAATGATGTGGCTGTGGGTTCCGTCCACTTTCTATGTCTTGTTTTTTTTTTTTTCTTTTTTTTCTTGCCGCATTAATGGTATTAGTGGTGTATTTTTTAGTGGTCTAAATTATTGTTGTTTGAATAAATAAATAAATAAACTATTGTTGATTCCTGGGGAAGTTGATGAAAATGGAAGACCCGTTACTTCTTGGCCAGGCAAATTCCATAACACGAGGTCGTAAGTGTGCTTGTATATTAAATGTCATATATAATAATAATAATAATAAATATGACATTATTAACTTACTTATTATATCCTTAAAGTCAATTTTGGCACATATCATAATAACTAATATTTAGTGAATAAATAATAAAGAGTCAAGTAAAAGTTGAAAATTTAAAAGTAATTGAATACCAAAGGTGATTTTTATTTTTATTTTTATTTTTAATATGATCCAATATTTTTTAAAATATTTTGAGGATTTCTAGTTTAAAGCACTTAGAGCATCTCCAACGGTGAACTAAACTTTTTACCAAATTTGAGTAAAAAAAATCAATTTTCTTGCTCCAACCGTGAATCAAAAGGAAGGGTCGATCGGTAAGAATATATATATTTTTTTTTACCTGTTTGAACCTTTTTTGACTGGTTTGAACCTACTTATTTGAAAGGGAACCGGTCGACCGGTTGGTCAACCGGTCGGACAACTGGTTGGTTGACCGGTTGGCCCACCCCAACGGTAACGCATAGTGAAATGGTGAAATCTGGAGCCTGTTCTCACTTTGATAAATTTTTTGTTCCATTCTCATTTTGATACTAATTTGGTGAAATCATTGGAGCTCCAAAAAGTAAATTTTTCACCAAAATTCAAATTTGATGCAAAGTTTGATGAACCGTTGGAGATGGTCTTACATGGTTAAAAATGACAAAAATATACACAAACAAAATATCATTAAAAAACAAAACAAAAAAACAAAAAAAAACATTGCCCCCACCGTTCTCTCATACCAACCAAAATGAAGGCATTTGTACACATACGTAAAAGTTTTACATAATACTCATATTATCATGTATAAGTGTGGGATATAAGTATTGTGTTGAATTTTTGAGTCCCTATCAATTGCTGCTTACACTAAAAAATGAGTATTGATAGGATTTTTGATAATTATTTTAAGTCTTAGCAATTGCTTTAAAAAAAAAAAAAAAAAAAAAAAAAAAAAAAAAAAAAGTTATGCTAAAAATACGAACACTAAATACAGAATGAGATACCTCCCATGGGATGGAATCCACGTGATGTAGGACCTACATGTGAAATTCACCGCATGTAAGACCGACGTAGGGTAAATTATCAATAGATCCTAATAGTTAAACTTAATTCCCATCAAATTCTATTGAAAATAAGTCTTAATAAAATTGTCAGTTAAAATAATTTTTTTGTGATAATTTTTATATATGTCGCTAAAAATTGACAATTAGTGACTTTTTTTTATTATGATTTTTATAATTTGTCGTTAAAACTTACAATTAGTGATATTTTTTTGTGACAAATTTTTTTTATAAGACCTATTAAATAATAAGTCCACTTATTAAGACCTACTCGTAAGTATCCCTAAAACGTATGTGTCTCATTATGTTTTTTATATTTGTATTTCTAAACTTATTACCTAATAGTTACGAAGAAATACTGTCTACATGTGCAAAATATACATAAACTCTCACATAAAGATAGTCACACATGAATTCCACAAGTGTGGTCCTCACATGGTCCTCACTTGCATGTGAGACCTTGTGCACATAAATGTTTGCAACTAGTGTTTTTGCTTTCAAAACTAGAAAAAGTAAAGTAGTAAGATTATCTGATGTACATGTGACGCCAAGAGAAAACTACGGCTGATATCAAATCAATTTTCTGACACCAATCTCCAACCATACATATGCATCTCCCAGCGCACCAGATAGATATACGTAATATGAATTATAAATTAATAAATATCAGAAAATAAAAATAAAAATATGAATATGAATAAAATCAATTGACTGAGAATGAGAATGAGAGAGAGAGAGAGACCTCAGGCAAGGGAAGCTGAGTAGAATAACCAAGAATTCCTCTGCATGTGAACATAAACAACGCCGATATTGTAGCTCTCGGCCTTCCTTCCACTAACCATGTCCACAATATATACGACGTCTGCATCCCCACATATACCTATCCACCCCCAAAATCAAATCACCCCCATCAAATTCAACTCTGATTTATTTGATTTCTCTATATTGACATCGATAATTACAAATTGATAGTTACAGAAGAAAAACCCATGTGCTTGAATTCATCACAAACATAATTTAAGCATTAAAAAAAACAAACAAAAAAAAAAATTATAAAAAAAGTAAAATATGTGACATTAATGTTATGTTGGGTTTAGATAGATACGTACGGTGTTGAGGCCTGCAAGAAGGGTGTTAATGGCGGGTCTAGAGGCAAGAACACGGTGAAGAGGAAGCGTGGCGACAAAACCCAGATCGAACGGTTGAGAAGAAGGAGGAATCATACGGAGAGTGTACTCCACACCCATGAAGAACAACAGAGCCGCAGCGAAGACGCAGGGTATAGGGTGGTGCCTCGCCACACCCAACACATCCCCAGACCTCCATTTCATGAAGGACGCGTTTTCAAGCATTCCACCATACCCACTCTGTTTCTGCTTCTGCTTCTTCTCGTTGTGGTTGTTGTTGTTTTTCTTCTTCTTGGTATCTTGTCGGGTGTTCCAGCCATTAGAGTAATAGGCGTTAAGAGGCTGCTTTTGATGCCTCCTGTTGTTGAGCGTAGTGGTGGTGGTTGTGGTGGTGGTGGTGGTGAGAGGAGAGCAGAGGAGTTTTTCACCGTCCATTAATGTGGGGACGAGAGAGAGAGAGAGAGAGAGAGAGAGAGTATATGAGTCGTGTGGGTGTGGGTGTTGGGGGTTGGGGGCGTATATAACATGGAAAATTGGGAGGCGGAGTATTTAAGGTGTGAAAATATTCTGTACATCTAGGGAATGTGGGACTGACTATACCTGTACCAACACTGGAAAATTATGGCGTTGTTTGGGAAATGTTAAAAATTAATTTTTCTGAATAAAAAAAAAATTGACTTTTTTAGGTTAAAATTTATAAAAAAAAATAAAATAAATTAAAATAGTTAATAAGATAAAATATCACATCAAATTCGTAATTATTTCACTTTTTCTATCATAAATATCATATCCTGCTATAAAAAAATCTAATCATCTTTTCAAATATAAAAAAATTTTAACCTATTAAAATAGTCAAAAACTAAAATAACATATCAAAATAACCAACTTTCCAAATAAGGCAATAGTCTCAGAATATTATGGGATTATATTCTTTCACTAATTACTATTTATTATACTTTTTATATTTCTCAATTATTCAACATAAATAATTAAGGAAAATTTACCCATAAGTCCTAGTTTCTGAAAAATGTTAAAAATTAATTTTTCTGAATAAAAAAAAAATGACTTTTTAAAGTTAAAATTTATAAAAAAATAAAATAAATTAAAATAATTAATAAGATAAAATATCACATCAAATTCGTAATTATATCACTTTTCTATCATAAATATCACATCCTGCTATAAAAAAATCTAATCATCTTTCTAAATATAAAAAAATTTTAACCTATTAAAATAGTCAAAAACTAAAATAGCATATCAAAATAACCAACTTTCCAAATAAGGCAGTAGTCTCAGAATATTATGGGATTATATTCTTTCACTAATTACTATTTATTATACTTTTTATATTTCTCAATTATTCAACATAAATAATTAATACTCTACCTTCTTTATAAATTATACTGCTGTAAAATATCATGTGACTTTATTCCCGAATTACTACATTCACCCCCACAACACCACTACACCACTCGAATCAAACAGGAAAAATTATAGCAAATTTTATGTAATATTCATTTGGGTGTCACTCTTATGTTTTACGTCTTAGGGTAAATTATAAAATGAGAATATAATAAATAAATAAATAAAGAGTAAGAAAAATATTTGTAAAGTAATTGATGTATAAGCGAATTATGTATTATATTATGCAATTAAGACTTGTATTTTTTTTACTTTGGAATTATATTTCTTCCTCATCATTTTTTAAATTTTTTCGAATTATAAATATATTTCTTAAAATTTGTTTAAAATATGAATTATTTTTTGTAATTTTAGAAATTTCATCCCAATCTTTTAAATTTTTAATTACATAATGAATAAACCATTTTATTAATAAATCATTAATTTAATTAATAGTTTGTAATAGGTTAATTTTTTGGGGTATTTTTTTTAAGGTCCCTGATATTATGATTTTATAGTATAAAGGACATCAAATATTTTCATGATGTCTGAGGTCCCTCAACATCAATCCAGAGAAAATTGATCCAGAGAAAATTCAAGTCAGAGAAAATTGATCCAGAGAAATTTTGAATTTCTCTGGCCTCCTTAGCTTTTCATGGACACTGTCAGAGAAAATGTGTTTTCACCAAATTTCTCTGACTTCGGAATTTATCAACCATGAACCATTGCCTCCACTCCCACTCTCATTCACTGCCATACCCACTGAATTGATTATGACAATACCAGATCAAATTCCATAAAAACAAGCACACAAGTGTGTTTATAAAATTAGAGAGAGAGAGAAAGAAAACAAAGTACAGAGAAAATTTGATTCTTGGTTGCTCCCAGAGAAAATTCAATTAAAAAACCAGAGAATTTCTCTGGTTTCAACCCAGAGAAAATTCAGTTCAAATGCAAAAAAAATTCAGTTCACTACTCCAAACACACACCATATATATACCACACGTACATACACAAATTCATTGAATTTGGTACTTGATCATAGAAGTACTCTTGTAGGCCAACAAGTGTAAACCCATCTCCAATCCCAAGAATGATGAATTAAGGAGCTAACCAGAACACGCTCATAGACAGATACCCAGAGAAATTCCCTAACCCAGAGAAATTCCCAAACAAACCTTTCTACAGAAATTCTCTCAAAGCTAACAATTCGGGCGGAATCAGTCTCAAGATCCTTGTGATACATGACTCTAAAGCTCAAGTGGTTATTTATAAAATACTTCTCCTCTTTGCTCTGTAAAAGCATACCCAAAAAAAAAATTAAAAAATACGTATTAACAAAAGAACACTACAGTAGCAGTTGTCTATCGCTACTCACCCCTGCATAATTTCCTTTGAACCCCACACGGAAACCATGTTCATAAGTGGTTGACGGACTGCCATCCCTCCTTTGTCTCAGAACAGCGACTGGAAGATTATCCAGAATCCTGCAAACCCATCTCAGAATTTCAGTTAAACAGAAAACTATGTAAAATTCAAGGCTTGCTTAAAACTTACCCATATATATATACACACATTTAAGGCCTGCATAAAAGTTTATGCTGCCATTGGCAATAAAAACAACAAATAAATTTGCAGACAAAAACACATGGCAACAAGGACATCACAAAAAATCCCAACAATAATTTATCAATGGATAGGACTCTCAATACTCTAAAAAATTACTAAACAAAGGAAGAAAAGTAGGATTCATAATTCACAGCCATGGATCTGGTTTCGAGAAATTGGAGTCTCCTACTGACTGTTTGTTTCTCGGCGACGCCGTTGAAGGTCGGATCCGGTGAAGCTGGAGCTCAATCGGTTGGAGAATGAAGTTAGGAGTGAGGAACAAGAGTTGATCTGGATAGGTATGAGAATGGAGAAGTTTAGAGAGAGAGAGAGAGAGAGAGAAAGATGAGTTTTGATTTGGTAAGGTCAAATTTCTCTATGATTGTTTAGGGACCTTAGACATTAAAAAATAATTTTGTGGATCTCTTCCATTATGAAAAGTGGGAGAGGGACCCTAGACCAATTTTCCCTAATTTTTTTACCCAAAAAATAATTCTAATAATTTTATTATTTCATACGAGAGTAGTTAGGGATTTTATTTTTTTACTAAAACTGTAAAAAAAAAAAAAATTATAATAAAGAAGTACTTATAATTTCTAACACTAAAGGGACAATCAGTAATTTAAGAAATTCCCAAGTGACGTATTTATAATTTACCTTGTATTATATTTTGTAAAAAGTAAGAGAAATAATTGCAAAGTAATTGATGTATAAGTGAATTATGTATTATATTGTGCAATTAAGACTTGTATTTTTATTACTTTCGAATTATATTTCTTACTCATCATTTTGAAAAAAAATTTCAATTATAAATATATTTTTTGAAATTTTTTTAAAATATAAATTATTTTTTGTAATTTTAGAAATTGCATCCCAATCTTTTAAATTTTTAAGGGAAAATTAGTCTAGGGTCCCTCTCCCACTTTTCATAATGGAAGAGATTCACAAAATTATTTGTTGATGTCTAAGGTCCCTAAACATATATCAGAGAAATTTGACCTTACCAAATAAAAACTCATCTCTCTCTCTCTCTCTAAACTTCTCTATTCTCAGACCTGTCCAGATCAACTCTTGTTCCTCACCCCTGACTTCATTCTCCAGCCGATTGAGATTCACCTTCACCATCAATGGCATCGCCGCTCAGGGTCTTCTTCTCCGATTTGAACATAGTTGTGTCGGTGATCGAGAAATTGTTTGTTGATGTCTAAGGTCCCTAAACATATATCAGAGAAATTTGACCTTACCAAATAAAAACTCATCTCTCTCTCTCTCTCTCTAAACTTCTCCATTCTCAGACCTGTCCAGATCAACTCTTGTTCCTCACCCCTGACTTCATTCTCCAGCCGATTTGTAACAACCCCCATACTGTTTACTGATTAATGACCGATTGATTACCGATAATCACCGATTACTGTCAAACGGAACTGATAATGACTAATAACTGACCGATAATTGAACTGATTAAAGTACTGAACTGACTGACCGAACCTTAAACTGCATTAAGCGAATGCGTCTGTTTGAATTACATTTTATCTGTTTGACTGTATGATTATCTGTTCATACTGATATGTTTAAACTGCTAATTGAAGGCCTTATCGGCGGCCGAACTGGGAATTGATTAATGTTTTATGATCCTCATAATTAATGTGATTTTATGGTGTATTTACCTGAAAACTGATTAAGTATGATTAAATTAGATTAAAATAAGCCAATTAGAGAGTTGGACTTAATTACCGTTTTGCCCTTGAGTGGGCCACTACCTCTATACCTTGAGCTCATTATACTTGAGCCAAAGACAACATTTCCTCAGCCATTTCCCCTCTCATTGCCGACCATAGAGAGAGAAAAACTAGAGGAGTGGAGTTCATCTCAATTTTGCTTGTAAATTGCTTGGTAATTGAAGAAATTGTTGAAGTGATTGCATATTTGAGCTCCCTTCTTGAACTACAAGACTAAAGGTAGCTCCATTGTCTTCTTGTTCATGTTTTGAGTTGATTCTTGCATGATTCATGTCATATTGAAGGAGTGTAGAGCCAACATGGTTTAGATGTTGAATTGTGGCTTAATTGTTGCATGCATGTACATATATTGAAGTTTTGAGGTTGTAAGTCCATGTTTCCTCACATGCATGTCCATCTTTTGATCATACTCCATGAGTTCATCCTGTTTTTGAAGGCTTGAGCTCTTTTGAAACAGCATTAAAGCTTTGAAAATGATTTAAGATCATGCATGTTGCATGTTTGAATGTTGTTCTTGAAATTGGTTTGAAATTGGGTTTGAATAAAACACCCTTGGGCTTTGATTTCTCAAATTGAGTTTTGAATCATGTTTAACTATGAGTTTACATGTGTTTTCTGGAAATTTAGCCCAAGAGG